GAAAGACCGACGCAAAGTACCCATTTAATAGGTTGGCTTTTTCCTGGGCATCAGTTGTCAGTTGTCCCATCTGATTCAGCAGGGGTCCAATGTTGCCCTTGCTTTTCTTCCGGCTCCCCACATATCTGAAAAAGGACTTTTTAAAGTCCTTGATGCTCAAAGCTAGTTGGAGTTCATTTGTAGCGTTGGCTTGCCTGGTTTGCTCCCTGCAGGACTGGACCAGTACAGAATATTCCTCCTTGCACGTGAATCCCATCCTTTGTAGGCCTTTCTTTTTAGCCTCAGGAGGTCTGCAAGATCGCTGGAGAGCCAAGGTGGCAGCTGTGCCCTCTTGCTGCCTTTCTTTTGAGATGGAATAGAATTAGGTTGTCCACTGAGGATCGCTCCCTTGAGAAGCAACCACTCTTCCTGGACTCCCCTCCCCCTGGGGTCGTGGTCCCTTAGTGCCTCACTGACAAGCCTCCTTAGCTTGTCAAAGTCAGCTTTCCTGACGTCAAAGACTTCAGTGTTGCTGACTGACTTGCCAGCTTTACGGCAGATGGTGAAGGTGATCAGCTCGTGTCTAACCTAAATCTGCTCTTCCTCATGTCTAACCTAAATCTGATCTCCATCAGTTTGTTGCCATTGTTCCTTGTTACTCCAAGAAGTGCCCTGGTAAATGGAGCATCTCCTATTCTTTGCTGTCCCCCGCCCCTCCTCCCCTGATGAATTTGTAGGCAGCCACAAGATCGCCTCTCAGCCTTTTCTTGCAGAGGGTGAAGGGATCCATGGCCCTCAATCTCTCCTCTTAGGGCTTTGCCTGCAGGCCCCTAACCATATGAGTGGCCCTCCTCTGAACCCTCTCAAGGTTGTTCACATCCCTCTTGAAGTGTGGTGTCCAAAACTGGATGCAGTACTCCAACTGCAGCCTGACCAGTATCACCTCCCTGGACCTGTTGGTCATGCACCTGCTAATGCATGATAAAGTGCGGTTAGCTTTACTGATTGCTTTGTCACATTGGCAACTCATGTTCATCTTGGTGTCAGCAATGACTCCAAGATCCCTTTCCACTGCTGTGCTGCTGAGAAGGTCCTCCCCAGCCTGTGAGTGTGTTGGTGATTCCTTCTTCCTAGGTGCAGCACATTGCACTTGTCCTTGTTGAGCTGCATTCTGTTCTGTTCTGCTCACTTTTCCAACCTGTCCAGATCTCCCCAGATTTTTTCCTCCCCTCTGGTATGTTAACTTTACTACTAGGTATCATCCAAGAATTTGGACAGAGTGCTCTCCATGCCCTCATCCAAGTCACTGATGAGAGCATTGAACAGCACAGGTCCAAGGACTGAGCCTTGTGGGACTCCACTGTCCACATTTTTCCAGGTTGATACCGACCCATTCACCACTACTTTCTGAGTGTGACCCCTAAGCCAATTTGCCACCTGCCTGAATGTGTAATCATCTACATCATAGCCACTCAGTTTGTCTATGAGAATAGGATGAGATACCGTATTGAAGGCCTTCTTAAAATCCAAGTACATGATATCTACCTCGATTCCTTGACATCCAGCTCGATACTACTTTATTTTTGGATAGAGGTGAAGAAGGCAAAAGCTCAATTAGATTTTCATTTGGTTTTCTGAATAACTCTGGAATATTTGAAAAGATTGCTGTATCTCCTTCAAGTTTCTTGATAGCCACTGAAACTGGTAGTAGAAAATTGAATGTTCCTTGAACTTGAACCCGGAACACATTGTTGTCCAGAATCTGCTTCTGAATGTTCACTGGAATAATCTGGGATACTGTGTCATCTATTGAAGCACACTGCAAACAGTTCTTTGTGTGCAGCAAATGATGTAAACACTTGTAGCCGAGCCCCATCTAGTTTCTCCTGGCAATAAAAGTGCGCTTTCTTTCCCCTGCTTCTCTTTCTGTAATTGCCTCAAAGTCTGATTAGCAACATGATGATTGTTGAATACCTTCACAGTTACTTTGCAGCTTGCCAATAGTGTCTTCATCGTATTCACACTTACTGTGTCCTTTGCCAGAAGATTCAACCTATGAACAAGACAGCCAAATCCTATTAAATGAGGATAGTTTGCCTTTAATATTTGCCATGCAGCTTTCATGTTACTCGCATTATTAGTTACAAGGGCTTGTACCCTGGAGGGACCTGCACTTTCAGTCTCTTCACTCAGTAATTTGGCTATGCATTCACCTGTATGACGAGAAGATTTAGTAGCAATTGCTTTCAACAATATGTTGCTAACATAATGTTCAATAAAGGATTTCCTTGTGTATCAGTCCATCCATCTGACATCAGAGTCAGTGATTCTGCTTGACCAATCCTTTGAATAACCATTGCTTGAACTCTGTCATACTCTCTATCTAAGAGACAATGTAGTATGTAATGTAGAGTATGTGGTATGTAATTTTTAAAAAAAATATTGTTTAAGGCTAAAACACTTTGAGTGTTTAGTGCAAGCAGAAAAGCAGGATACAAATATTTTAAATAAGTAAATAATAGTCCAGAGTTGCATTAACAACTTTTAAAATTATAATGTTTTAAAACAATATAGATGCCAGTCTATAGTGTGTGTTGTTTAACATATTGATTTGTTTACTTACATAGGATTCCTGAAGTAGACTTTTCTCAGAGGATGTTGTTCCACCACTTCATTGTATTAGCTTTCTGTATAGGGCTTGTACTCCTTCAGGATAGTTTCTACATGTTGTTAAATGTTTCTTCATTCTTGTTGCGTTGTAAATATCGTGGGCAGGAGTATGCTAACATCTACCAACTTTCTTCCCTCCTTCAGTGGATTGAACTTCACTATAGTGATGCCACACACTAGTTTGTTTTTTTTTCTGATTAGGCATTATGATGACTAGTTCAAACCAAAAGTACTAAAAATCTAACAGATTTTATGCAAACACTTCCAACTTCCCCACCTCAAGAAAAGAAATGAGACACTGCTCTCTGTTTGCTGAACTGAAATCAATCACAGTTTTAGTTCTGACTTTGCTTTCACTTGCAGTCTGTGATGAAATAAGAATTTTAGCTTTGGTTTTGATTTGACCTGCACAGCCAATTAGGTAAATTCAGAACTTGATTTTTGGTTTGGATTATTATGCGAGTGTATTTACCCTCCTGTTTACAAATCAGTAAAACATATATGTACTCTGTCACACACTTCCTAGGGATAATCACCTGAAAAACATTAATTACAACTTTGAAACTGCCAAGCTTGCCTAATATTGTATTGGCATCCATTCATCGTTACTAATGAATTTTATGAAACAATGAATTTTTAGAAATGGAAAATTTACCATGGAAAATAAAGTACAAGAAAATTTTCCGCCCCACATCTTTGATCATAGGTTACATAGTTCCATTTATTGCAGTTACTATGTAAGTTTAATAAATTCTTTGTCTGAAATCCCAAACACCATTAGGTGTTCGGGGCTGTGGGCAGTCAGGCCAATTCCTCTCTCCTTAGCGTGATCTTTCTACCCATTTGCCTTTCAGAACACGAAGAAGTCGGTGTTGTGAAAACAGTCATTAATGGGCTCATCACAAGCAGCAATGGACAAGAGAAAGGTGAGTGAAGGTGGGATTCAAAACCATCTATGCAGCTTCTCTTATACCGCAATTGGAGTGGTGCAGCTAATTTACCCACACTGGATTCCCCTTGTCATCTCAAGGGCTCAGTAGCTGCTGGCTTGCTGCTGGTGTGTGTGTGTGTGTGTGTGTGTGTGTGTGTGTGTGTGTGTGTGTGTGTGTGTGTGTGTGTGTGTGTGTGTGTGTGACTTCAGTTGACTTCAGTGGGAGTTGCATGTGGAAGCAGCAAGCTAGGGCTCGGTGTTAAAGAGCAAGAAGTAACTTACTGTTTGAGGAAATCTTTCTTTGACAGGGAGATGGGAATCCCAAGCCTTTTGAGGTGAATGCATTTTTTCCACTAGTGTTAGTGGGTTTGAGTTGATCTTACAGCATTAGCTTTATCCTTTCACAGAGATATTTTGGGAAGTGTGGTGGGGGAGATTTTGCTCTTAAGTTTCTGCTTTAAGGCCTTATTCTTCCTGCAGTTCCTTTTCATTTTAGGTAGAATTTTAATACAGGTGTGAATGAGTTGGTTACAGAGTGAAATGGAATTAGAGCTCAGCCACAGGAATCTGTTTTATAAAAACCTTGCTAGCAAAATTGTCACAAATCAAAGATGGTTTAGGTCTGAATTACACTGGATCTAGTCCCGCTGCAGTAGCTCAGAGAGGAGGTAATGTTCAGGTCTGGTTTAAGCTCAGTTTGGCTCAAAAAGGCTCAATTTGCATAATGTGGTAGAACCATTTAGAAAGCAAAAACTCTTTAGAAAATGTTTAGCGCTAGAGGTGCACTGATACATCAGTCCCATATCGGATTGGCACCGATATAAGGAAAATTGACATTAGCGGCTTCTTTTGGCTGATTAATGCCACCAATAAATGCCCTATTCACGCGCATAACCACAGTACAACACACAGGCAGCCAGGAGTGCAGTCTGACAGTGTGGAGAGCAGCTGAGTCCAGCTGGTAAGTCTGTTGTGAGGAAAGGGGTGTGGCGGGGGGCAGATTGAAGCCCCCACGGTGAGGAAGGGAGTGGGGCTGGGGCAGGCGCTGCACAGCCGGGGTGGGGCACAGGATGGAGCCATGAGTTGCTTGTCTGGGGGGTGCGGGGGGAGGCAGCTCCTGTTGCTGCGTGCAGCCTGGGAGGTCATGGGGAGTGTGTGCCCCATGTGCGCAGGGTGAGGCCAGGCTGCCACTGCAGGCTGGGGCCAGGATGGCACCAGGGTCTTCGTGGCGGGGGGGCTGGGCTGGGCTGCGCTCAAGGCAGGCAGTGGTGGTGCCAGGAGGGGGGGGTTGGGAGGCCTATGGCAAATTTTGAGGTGGATGCAGCCCCCCCATGGACCCCCTCCCAGCACTGTTGCCCACCTGCACCAAGCGCTGCCCAGTCCAGCCCTTGCCAGGAAGAGCTTGGTGCCGCCTCAACCCCAGCACACAGTGGCAGACCACAGCAGCAGCCTACCCTCACCCTGCGTGCTGATCTGAGGGCACCCCTCCCACCCTCCTGGAGTGCATGCAGTGGTGGGAGCTACAACCTCCTCCCCATGCCCCCCAGACAAGCTGCTTGCAGCTCCATCCCCTGCTCAGCCCCTGCTGTGTAGCAGCTGCCCCTGCCCTAGCCCCACTCCCTCCCTCGCTGTGGGGGCCTCGATCTGGCCCCTCTTCATGCCCTCTTCCCTCCCTACTCGCCCCTTCTCCCACAACAGACTTACCAGCCGGACGCCACTCTCCATGCTGCCCGGCTGCATATCGGAATCAGATCAGTATCAGCTGATATGGCTTGTTAAAAATCGACTGTCACTATCGGCCCAAAAATTCTTTATTGGTGCACCCCTGTTTAGTGCTTGTTCATAAAATCTGATGTTTCTAATAACACTAATATATTGGAAAAAATAGATTCTAAACAGAAATCTGTGATTTCTTGCCAGATTGAATGGGTTTGTCCAGACTGGTTACTTTGCTGCTACCTTACGCTTGGAGATCATTTTCAGGGCTATGGGGTCATAGTTGTCTACCCTCTGGTATTGATGTTATAAAAATATGTCACAAAAACAGGATTCATACAGTGTGGCTGGTTAATATTACAGTCCAGCACCACCTTTAATCTTTGTTTTCTTGCTTTGCTTTTTAACATTATTATTTTTTTTTTGCATGTAATGTGTAGCATCTTGGCTAAAGGTTTAAACTAAGCTTTGTCTATGTCAGGCAATATGGCTCTCAGGCCACATCTGGCCCACCAGGCCATTCTATCTGGCCCACTGGGCCCCTAAAAAATTTAGAAAATTAATATTTATCTGCTCCTGGCTTCCTGTCAAAGATGAGAGGAGCCAGGGCCTGTAGGACCCATGGGAAGCCAGCAGCACGACCCAGCAACAAGGCCCGCCCAGCCCTGTCCCTCCCAGACTCCCCCACTGCCCTGCCAATTGGAAGCCCCTGCCTAGAAGAGGCTTCTAGCCAAGGACCATAGGGTTGTTCCTGACTCCATGTGCCGGAGAGGGGTATTCAGATAACACGGGGGAGAGGGGAGGAGGGAGGCAGGGGAGGACCGTGGGTAATCCCCCCCAGTCTTCGGGGCTAGGCCGGCTCCTGCTAAGTCCTGCAGTCATGGTCATACAGCCAGGAACCATGTGGTGCTGGAGTGCTGCAGTGGCAGGTAGGAAAGTGGGGAAAGCAGCTGTGGGAGGGTGGGGTGGGAATAGGAGCGAGCAGGCATGTGGGAGTGCGATGACAGCTGGGTGGGAGTAAGCAGGCGCATGGGAGTGCAGCAACAGCTGGCCGGGAGCGCAGGGCCACACCGGTGTCCCAGGGCCAGTGCCAGCAGGGCTCAGAGTGGGGTGGAAGGAGTGTGGGGTGCAGGCTGGCAGGTGTCTACGGTGCCATGCTGGGCTGCACCATCAGGGAGAGAGGGGAGCCAGCATGGCTCCATAGAGCCCCTGCCAGCCAGGACCCCTCACTCCTGCCGTGCTTCTGCCACTGGGGCTGGCCTCAGGACACTGGTGTGGGCCCCATGCTCCTGCTCAGCTATCGCTGCACTCCCACGTGCCTGCTCGCTTCCACTCCCCACCGCGGAGAGAGAAAGAGCAGTGCAGGAGGAACTGTGTGTGTGTGTGTGTGTGTGTGTGTGTGTGTGTGCGCGCGCGCGCGCGTGTGCATGCGTGTGCCACCATGCAGTGAGGGAGGGGGAGAGAGAAAGAGCAGTGCAGGAGGAACTGTGTGTGTGTGTGTGTGTGTGTGTGTGTGTGTGTGCGCGCGCGCGCGCGTGTGCATGCGTGTGCCACCATGCAGTGAGGGAGGGGGAGAGAGAAAGAGCAGTGCAGGAGGAACTGTGTGTGTGTGTGTGTGTGTGTGTGTGTGTGTGTGTGTGTGTGTGTGTGCGCGCGCGCGCGCAGTGAAGGAGGGACAGTGTGTGTGTGTGTGTGTGTGTGTGTAGGGTGAGTCCCACACGCACACCCCGGCATACACATGCACCCACATCCCCCCCTCGCACTGCCATACACATAGACCCTGCACTCACACACCCCAGACACCCTCCCCCCACACAGATCCCCCACAAACCCCATACCCAACCACACCCCACATATCCACACACACCCACTTGCTCCCTCCCCCTATCCTCCCCCCCTCCACAATATACAAGAGTAAGACTTCATTTTAAGCTATTGTGTAATCAACTCTACATACATTACACAAACACATATAAATCAGGACAAACATATTTTTTTAAAATAAATTAATGAATGTTTTTAGATGTTTGATTTTCTTAGAATATAATTTGGTATTTTTCTAGTTCCAAGATGGCAAACCCCCTTGCTGAAAGGAGTATTTCTGAGGACAAGGGGAGGGACTTCTGGTGGCAAAGGTCAGGGCTTGGGGGGTGGGACTTCCGGTCACAAGATGGTGACCAGGGGGCGGGGCTACTCATGTAGCCCTTGACAGCTTGCCAAAACTTGGTAAGCATCCATCCACCCGAAATAATTGCCTGCCCCTGGTCTATATCTTCTGAAAACTAATGCTTTAGCTTCTTTCCCCTGGAGGATAGTGATAGCCAGGACTTGATTGGTTCAGTAAGCATTACTGTACCCTGCATAAAAGAGAGACATCCTGAATTTGAGTGAACAAGGGGCTATTTTTAATGATTGCATCACTGCACATTGGAATGCTTTTGTGTATGAAATTTCCTGCTATTGTCAATTCTGATTTCCCTAGTACGTTAGAAAACTTTGTGGCACAATTCCCAAATTGTGTTCTTCCCTTCTGGATGCACCATCTACACTTTTGTGTTTGCAGCTGTTGACGTTCCTTTATCTGCACGCTCTATTTCTGCTGTTAAAATAATACCTGTGAAGAAACTGAAAAGTTCTCCTGACCTAGTGCTGCCTACAGGTATTTCCCTCCCCTCCCTGATTGTATTAATTGGCCATGACCTCCTCCCTCTGCTTCACCATCCTGCTAAGATATTCTTTAGCTTCATCGTTCTTTTGCTGCTTTCCAGAGCTGTAGATTTCATCAATAGCTAATAGAGTTAGCTCACAATGGCACAGTGTACTGTCTTCAATAATTCTTGTTTCTCTGCAGGCATAATTGAGTAGCCTTGAAGCTGGGCTCTGTGTAAGCTCTTGTACTAACACTTGGTATAAAATTATTGTTATTGCAACTTCATTTTCAACCAAGCTCCTGACGAGTTCAAAATCTTTGGTCCATATGCAAGTAAACAGACATCATCAATTGTATTTTACAGGTTCAACCCTAGTTCAGCATCTTTGTTTTCCTTGTTTGTTTGTTTGTTTGTCAGAATTTTACAGAACATTTATGCTGCTAAATGTTTCAGGGAAATGATGCCAGTTCTAAAGCATTAGTGCAGTGCAGTTGCTAGCAAAACTGATGGGAAAACTGTATTTGTATTTTGGAAGAAATTCTGAGATTTTGAAAATTGGCTTTATCTCAAATTAGGATGAAAAATACAAATCTCAGATTTTTTTTGCAAAATATTGTAAGATGAAAGTTGAAACAATAAAATCAATATAACATTTTCAAGAATTGCCTGTAAAATGTATTTAAAAAATCAGCATGTTCTTGCAAAATATTTCCATTTCATTGAACTGACGTTTTCAATGAGAAACTGATCTAACAGAAACCTTTCAATCAGCTCTAATATCTAGCAATGGAAAGGGTGGTTCTTTACAATTTAAACCAAAAACGGGGAAAAAAACCCAAAACCAAACTTAAGACCCTTTGAGCCTACAAGAATGTGCATCTCTGGATCAGGATGTAGAATTATTAGAGCCCAAAGTTCAGGGGCATTCAGATTTAGGGTTTCTGGTTCTAACCTGTCTTTACATTTTCATGACATGCTATCGGGGTAGTGCATGGAATTATTTTTGCTCCAATTCCAAGACAGACCTCGGAAACACTTTATAGAACCGAATGCCGGGGACTAAGAAAATTTTCAAAGGATCAAATGGAATGCATGTTAAGTATCTGATGGACACTTCTAACGGTTAAATTTTCCCCTAAATTTCATTGACTTCATCTTTGAACCAATAATAACCAATACTGTTACTACAGCTGCTAACACAGATAGGTAGGTCCATGACTGCTGTTCCCACAAAGCTTAAGAGGATAGTTATGACACATTTGTTTAGCAGAGGGTGATAAACACTCCTACACTATCTTCTGGGATCCTTACAGGAAGAAAAAAAATCAGTGGAAGTGCCTTTTAATATACTGCTAGTTTCCTACTCTTCTGTTCCATTTCATATTGATATGATGCTCAGGCTAATAACATAGTTTTTAACATGGTGGAGGTGGTGTTATTAATTATTTGTATTACATACATGTTGGCACTGCCCCCATGCTGTATCCAGCATCACAGCTAAGCCACTGTAGTACACCCACTTGTCCCAACTTTGTGAAGCTCCTGAAAATGAGGGGATGAAAAGATCATGAAATAAAATGTAATTTCAAAGAGAAAATCTGAATTGAAGTGAGCATTTCACAGATGCACAGAAGTTTAGGGCTGGAAGGGACCTCATTAGATCATCAGGTCCAGCCCCCCTGCTCTGAGTAGCAAAGACTGCTGGGGTCAAATAACCCCAGCAAGATGTGTTTCCAGTCTCCTTTTGAAGATCTCCAGTGTAGGTGCCTGCACCACCCCTGCTGGGAGTCTATTCCAGAGTTTGGTCACACAAACCGTAAAAAGTTTTTTCTTTATATCCAGTTTGAAACCTCCTTCTAGGAGTTTGACCATTGCTCCTGGTTTTCCCGTGGAGCGCTTTGGTGAATAGCTGTTTGCCTAGCCCCTGATGCTCTCCCCTGATATATTTGTAAACTGCCACCAAATCTCCCAAAATCTTCTCTTTTCTCAGCTGAGCAATCCCATATCTCCCAGCTTTTCCTCATATGGCTTGCTCTTCAGGCCTCTAATCATACAAGTTTTATCATTTGATAAAACATTTAGTTTAAAACAAAGCCTCTGGGGGCTTTTTTTCATTGTACCTCTTAGATCAGTCCTGGTTCAGGAACAAATGCATAGTGAAAAAGGCGTTGTTTGGGTTTGTAGTCCCCATAGCCATGATTCAGCAAGTTATTAACCATGCACTTACCTTTTAGCAAGTGAATTCTCTGAATCTGCTCCAGTGCAGTGAGCTAGGCACAGACTAAATTGGGGCCCATAACTGCAGCACTGAGTCCCTCTCTGACCCCCTTTTCAATCTCCTAATCCAGGATGTACATCTGCAACCCCCTTAAGCCACTGTTGAGGGGCAGTTCCTTGAGGCCAACTGTAATGCTCTGTTTATTTCTATTGCAGCAGTGCCTCCAGCCTTAGCTCTGGCACTGTCACAGAACAGAGGCATTGCACAGACATTGGGCCAGATCCAGTAAATGGGCATTATTGTATTGAAGTCAATGATGGTGTACTGACCTGTTTCCCTATGAGGACAGATGGCTTCTAATATGTTAGAGGCTGTTATAAAATTGGAGGTGCTCAGCTGTGTTTCTAGTCCACCAAGATAGGACCAGGGGAATTGGCTTAAAATCAGCCAGAGAAATTTAGGTTAAGTATTCTAGAAGGACTGTCTAACTTTAAAGATAGTTAAATATTGGACTTGTGAGGGGAGGTTATGGAATCTCCCTCACTAGGAGTTTTAAAGAACAGGTTAGATGACCACCTGTCAGGAATGATGTAAGTACATTTGATCCTGCCTCTGAGCAAGAGGTTCGACTACATGGCCTCTTGAGATCCCCACATTTCTGTGATTCTAGGTTTATCTTGAAGTGTTTAAGGTCAGTGGGACTACTCGGATGTACAAAATTAAACACTTCTTACTTGCTCTGTTGATTTGGGGCAGCAAAGACAAGGTTGGCATGATCCAGTTGACAGGAAGAACAGAGGCATGATCTTAGCGGTTGTGTTTTGAACTCCCTTCTGCTCCTTGCAATTGATGTCTCTGCATCAGGATTGTAGTGCAGCCTTGAGGTAAGGTGTATGGGAGGCTCCTATAATGATGCATGAGCTACACCATTTATGTGGGGTAGTTTTAAATCTTTCTCCATCAATCCTGCCTGAGACTCACTGTTTCTTGTCAGTACTCACAGGCTGTACTGCTTCAAACCAGTATCATAAGCAGTACATTCCCTGCTTGTACGGAGGCAATTATAATGGTACAAAAGTTAGTGTGGCATAAAATTGGTGTGTAGAACAGGCCTAATAAAGTAAGCAAACCTGTGAAATGTGGTTCACATACCTAGCAGCTCTTACTGCTTTCCTAGCTCATTTTCAATAATTTGGAATTTTACAACTATATCCATGTTACTTTCCTTTATAAAAAAAAAAAAAAAAAAAAAAAAGGGTGTGTATATAATACTACTCTGATTTCCTTATGCTTTAAATCCAAAGCTAATCTTCATCTGCATAAACCTACTGGAAGATTTCACTACAGGCGCATCCATGCTAAAATTACTGCATACAGTTCTGATGACTCCTCTGAGCTCAGTGTTCTCTGATCCAATGCATCTCCCTTGTGTGTATGTTTTCTATAGACACGGACCCTGCTAAAATCTGTAGCGGAAAAGGAGCTGTGACTTTACGGGCATCTCCAGCCTATGAGGAAAGTCAGACTATCTGTTCCCCATGTTCTCAAGATGTCCAGCAATCTGAAAGTAAGTCTAATGTCTGGAAGGTTAACCATAAGATATGACTGTAACGGACTTGTGGCATTCAAAGCCAGGTATTGAGCACGAGCTCTTCTTTTTTGGGCTGCTGACCTCTTTAGCAGAGTTGCAAAAAACCTCTTACAAAAGACCAGGCCAGTAGGTGGAGACAAAGACCTACAGTTTCCTGGTGTGGGTTTCATGCTTGCCTTTAGGGAAAAGATATGTTTGTTTGTTTGTTTGTTTACTGCTTCATGTTGCTGTCAAGAGTGCCAAAAACGATCGTATCCTCTTCCCAAACAGATCGTGGTGTATTCTTTCATTCTGGGCCTAGAGTGGGAGCAGGAAATGTCCTGCCATGCTTGCTGCTGAGATGGCATTTTGCCGTGGTTGTCAAGGGCACTAGGATGGTATCCCAAGCTGACAGTGTTGCCACAAAACTTTGTCATCTTTAAATAGCAGATGTGTAATTACTTAATGTGGGGACAAGCAAAGCATAACAAACCCTGCCTCTGCCTTGGGTCTTGCATAGAGAATGAACTCCTGAAGTAAAGATGCCATTAAAAGTTAGGGGGTGTTCAGAATCGCTGCTGGAAGTGAAGCACACACAATTACAGGACCAGTTGTCAAGGGAAGGGTGATTATATTTCTTCCAGCCCTAATGTTCTTTTTTCTACCTCCTCTTTCCCCTCCTTTTCTGTTCCACCCATGACCTCCTCTTTTCATTTGCTCCATTCTCTTACTTCCTCACTCCTGCTTCCATTGCTTCTCCTTTTTGCTGATGGCTTCATAAATTTTCAGCAGCTTGAATGGCAATGAGCCCATTACTATGGAAATGAGTTCATTAATACTTCTTTTCCTTAGTCTCAATCACTTTATGAAACACATTTTGGAATTGGAAGAGCTCTTCACACATAACGTGAACATCAAAAAGACTAATGTGAGAAGGAGGGAGGAGGAACTCAGTGGGAGATGGGTATACAGTCAATAACAACCTGTATCCATGCACCTACCCACAGAGGCTGGGTTGTAAAATGACACCCTGTTTCATACCCTGGCCTCCCCCTCAAATGAGTATCAATTTATAGATGTTTCTTTGCACCAGCTATTCATACATAGTAATGTTTATAAGGACAGATATGTTTTGTCCCAGCTGGGCTCATGGTTACATATGGAGACCCTGCCTTTGCAATTATGTGAGGCATTTGGATGCCAGGCAGTGGCTTGAGAGCAGATAATTCTGCTGCCTTTTTGCCTCTGAAGTGAGAATGTCAATGAACAATTGTTTCTTCATTGCTCTGAATGAATTGCCTTGTGTTTACAAAGGTCAGAAACTGTGAGGGCATCATGTTTAGGGCCAGTTTCTATGGTAATTAGGCCTCCCTGTCAGAAAGTATTTTGTGTGTGAAATGAAGTATCCTGACTCTTAATTTCAATTGGTACATGTTTTCTGTAAATGGAACGGTTTATTTTTTTCTATCCCCCCCACCCTTACCCCCATTCTTCCTTCCCTCCTCTCTGCAAAACACTTAGATCTGGAGCCAGAAAAACCAGAAACAGGTACAAATGCTAGCTGCTTTATTTTGATTGCTTTTGTGTTCCCTGGATGTCTGTTTTATTGTCCAGCAAAAAAACCAAACAGTCCTTTCTCTTTGCTCCCCATGTAACTAGAGGGAATTCTCTGTGACATGAAGTTGTCCTTCCACTTTTAGATGAATGGAGGTTATCATCTAATGTGGATTCCAATGGCGATTCCCTACCATCTTCTCTGGCTGCCAAGGGTTTTAGAAGTGTGCGTCCGAACCTCTCCTCAGAGGGCAAATCACAGGTAAGCATCTCTTCAGAGGTTTTGAGTGTGGGATCTTCTGGGTTCAAGCACAGCAGTAGCAGTCAAGAGTCCTGTGTGCGATTCCCAGCTTTGCCATACATTTGGGTAAGTCTCTGCCTTAGTTTTTGCTTTCTGTAAGCTGGTGATAATGCTTATTTCATAGAAATTTATTAATGCGCAATAAAGCACATTGAGATCCTTGGCTGAGAGGTGCAGTAGAAGGCAAAGTATTGTTCAATGTAATTAATTTTGGAAGGGTCAGAAAAAGGGTAGTGACCTGTTATTGTATGGGCTTTGTGTGACCTGCAGCAAGCTGAGAGGAGAGTTAAACAACAAAAATCCACAGAATGACCTAAAATGTTACTGGAAAAGCCCAGTTTCTTTAATGCAGGAAATGGCATAAACTTTTAAAAATCTGTAATGGAAAAGGTAATTTTTTTCCATAGTCTAACATAAAGTTTTGGGATTGGTTTGTTAATGGGAGAGAACTGCTGAGTCCTTTCCATTGCTATGGATATCTTACTGGACTGCATGGATGCTGTTTTTGGGTTAGTAGGAAAACTCAACAACCCTTTTTTTTTAATATACTGCTTGCTTGACATCTGTTACTGCTCTGCTAAGTGTGAAATGGACCCCTATTAAAACCTTTTCCACAGTTCAGGGTGACTGCTTTAATCACTACTGGCTCTTGGTGAAGATGCAGACAGACACCGTGCCTGAAATTTTAAGTGGAAGATAAAAAGCACCACTCAGCCAACAGCACCAGAAGCAAGCATGTGTTATAGGAGAGAGCCACTTACTGCATAAGATGGGCAGCTGTTTTGCAGTCAGTTAACTGGGCATGTAAATGAACAAGGATAGCTCAGTTCTAGCTTCACAGAGTACTTCTTACAGATAAGTCTTGATAACAGTTACACTACTCCAAAAAACAAAGAGGGGCAAACGCAGCTATAATTTATGTGGGTGTAAATCAGGAGTACAGCTATTGCTATTAACAAGTTAGCATTTACCAGCAACTTGCTATGCTCCAGTATTGAGAATACAGTGGTATTTTCCTAGGCTGAGGCTAAGAATAAGATCCATAGAGTCACATAATTTCTAACTCGTGTAGAAGTTTCTGCCAGATCAAAGGGCTTGTCACAGAAAACACTCTATCATCAACTTTCCAGCTCTTTTAAGTTGGGGGTGGTGGGGGTTGCTGGCCAGGCAGGCAAGTGGGGGTGGTGCTGGGCAGGCGGGCAGGCAGGCAGACAAGGTTGGGGAGGAAGGGGCAAGGTTGAGCTTGAGTGCCTCTGCCAATCATATCAGTGTTAGGATGAAGGATGAAAGCCACAGCTTCCCCAAAATCAATGGAGTAACCCTAGATCTGTGGCAGTGTAAGCCAGAGTAGTTTGTGGCCTAAAGCTGCCTGGGGGAGATGAACTTAAAATGAGAACATTTATCATGGTTTGGAAATTTAGGGCTGTTAAAACATTCTTTTCCTTTTATCCCTGCCATTTTACCACTGCCCTGGCAAATGTAAGCCTACAGTCATGGGGCTATGTACATAAAATCTATCCTTCCCCATCTCCTGTGGGTTAACTTGTAAGCATGTAGGAAATGACTGTTCTTAAGGCTGACATTTTAGTCATTTGCCTTCTCAGAGATTAGCTTTTTTCAGTCATTTGCAATGAAGCAATAAATATAATAAAACTTCCATGCAGTAAAGTTACTCATTTTGCTACCGAACAATTTGGCTATGAGCAAAAATTGACTGTAATTGGAGTTGCAGTCTGCATGTTGCACTGAAATTACAATCTAATACACTGCAGTGGAGGGGAAACCATTAAGGACTTTTGTTTTGCTTAACTAGAGACAAGGATTTGGTCGCAGCAAGGTTCACTCTAAAGAAATTTCTTACGAACCCAATTCCTCAGTAGATTAATACTATGCAGGTTTTCTGAAGGCATTTTGAGGACCAGGGATCTTTTTTGGAAGGGAACTGGAGTGTCAGCCTCCAGTGAAAATAAAAGATGACTTTTTATTTAATTTTTTCTCTGTATAATGGAATGTGCAAAATGCAACATGTCACAGTGGTAGGGTTTTGTATCTGCATATGAATTTATGTATGACATTCTAAACCATTTCTCAGCACTTTGCATAGTGCACAGTAAAGATGGGCCCAGGCAGATGATTTTGGATTCTCTTCTAGAGTCAAACACCCTCAAGTATTTGGGTCGGGAACAGAGGGATCATTGCTTATGTTCAGATCCGTGTCCGAGCTTCCCCAAAGGTCCCAGGGAATTTTAGGATCTTGATTGTCCCAGCTTCCCTCTTGAGTTCTGAAAGAAGTGAGACACGTTGTATAGGTTGGGTCTTGAAAGCTGGATACCCTGTCACTTATCTCAGGGAGCAGCAATGGGAGTGAGTAAGTTGTGTGCTGGAGTTGAAGATACTGTGTTAGCTTTTTGTTCTCACTGCATTAAATCCTGTTAACCCAAATCTAATGACCAACTTCATTCTTTCAATGTTTCTTCCCCCCCTCCCCTTTTTCCTTTTATTTGGCTGATTTCTTTTCCCCTTCCCACTTGAATCTGCCTGGACAGCCCCTTTCTCCTCCCCGTCCTCCTCTTCCAAAAGAGGAAAGCTTTGCATGGCGTCCTTGCACTGACACTAAAGTAACCAACCTGTTGCCAGTGCCCGTCATGGATTGTGTGTACCTGAATGCACCCAAGCCTTACACACAGTGTGCATCACCGAGTACCAGTAGGAAGTATTACACCTCGTCACCTACACCTTTTGGGACAATCCCCAGTGGGAAGCAAGGCTTTCCAGCTGGGCATCCCCCCCAGTCAATTGGTTTGACCCCCAAGGATGCAATGCATGCTGGTCAGTCACTTTTGGGAAGTAGCTGCTTGTTATCAGGCACATCATCCAAACAACAAAGCACTGCCAGGGCAGATCCCAGTAGTACAGCTGGAATGAATTCCAGTCATGAGACGAAAGCAAATAAAAAGGTCAGCAGTCTATATGTAGCTTGTTTATCTAACAGCACTTGCTCGGTCGCATCTGAAAATCCCACCAGCATTGCACATGACCAAACAGACAGCACCGGTTTGGGAGCTGAGGTCACTCGAGCACTAGTCACCAACATTGTTTCCTCTGTAACAGATACTGGAAAATCTCTTCCTCCTCCTCCTCCTCCTCCTCCTCCTATCCCTCCCAGGCCGTACTTTAACATTGTCCTCAGTAAAGACGCAGTTAGCTATGGTGCAAGCCATCCCTTCAGAACTCAATTACCACCTCCTCAAACTGTGAGGGAAGGAGTGATAGAGTCCCAGAATACGGCTGGCAGTGAAAACAGGATGAGAAAAGAGCTGTACCTTACACCACAACAACAGCAGCAGCAGCAACAATACAAGGCGAAGGGACGCAAAATGGTACATGTCTTCTCCATAATCTTGTTTTCTTTTAGTTCTCCAGTTCATTAGAGTATCCCCTAATGCTGTATCTCCTTCCTAATTTCTGCACATGGTTGGATCTTGTGCAACTTGAATCTTGTGGTATCTTCTCCAATAACTTCTAACTTCTCTCAAAATATTGGTATCTTTGTGTTTGTGTGCTGTTCATAGGCTAAAGTTGGTGGGCTTGGGTTATGTGAAATATTTCTATTTTAGGTAGGCACGAAAGTAGCAAATGCTGCAATAACCTAGTTAGCTGTCCTTAAGTGACAGGAGAGGATAGATATGTGGTTTGATAAAATCTAGATTGCAAATAAAAGGACAGGGAACAGAAGTTGTGTGAATTATCCCATATGTTTACAGAGACTAGCCCCTAAGCCACTCTACTGCTGAAGAACATGCTCTCTGAGGAAAGACTGTCGGCTAAAACTACTTTTGTTTTGGGTGAATCCTTGCATGTTACTATGTGGCTGCAGTACTATGGATTATGGATTTTCCCCATTGCATAACAACACCTTGTTTCCTACAGGATGCATTTGGCATTACCACAGCTCAGCCTGGGGTTATAGTAGTCCCACTCCTCCAGGTTAATACAGACAGAGAGCAAGAAGGCAGCTCCAGCACTCCACCACCACCTCTGGTACCTTTTGGGCAAGGCACCATCTTCCCTGAGACCGTTCCTCCTGGCTCACCTCTGACTTTTCCGACACTAGATGATTTCATTCCCCCTCACCTGCAGAGGGGCCCCCACCATCACCAACCACCCACTTCATCTGGCATCTTGCCCCCAGTTTGCCCGAAACTGCCATCATTCTCACCACCACCTCCATTGGTCCCTCCAGTCACAGAGGCTTTGCACAGAGGCTTGGAGCCTGAAATCACTGGAGTCACTTCACATACAGTAAGCTCACCGTGTACCCTCCTCGCACCTTTCCTAAACTTACATTCTCAGATTAAAATGATTTTCTCCTTGGCATACTAAAATTTGAAAGAGGGGCACCAGCTAGCTTCTTGTCAGCAGCATGACGACTGAAAATTTTGTATGTCCTTCTCCTAGTTGCATGCATGTTGCCTGCCTTACCCCGCTTGGGACTTTACAATTCTTTTGGGGGTTTTTCACTCCCCCATCATTCTACAGTCTCTCTCTTCACCCCTGCCCTGCACTCCACAGAAGTGCAGAAATACAGGCCTTTGGTTTTAACCAGTATTTGCTCAAAGCCATGTATTATGTATGTTATTTATACTTCTTGTTGGAAAGAAATAGCACCTGCTGCTCATATTCCGACTAGCTGATCTAAGTGGCCTCTTGGCAGCACCCTCCAATCATGTGTAAGTAACATGCAAGGCAGAGAAAAGTGAGGCAATTAAAAGTTAAGCAGTCAATCTGTCCCACATGGAAATGAAGGGTCTTGATGTTACCTAAAGATTGGTGTTAATGCAGATTGACCGGCAGATCAGAATATCACTTACTCATCTGAAACTCTTGCATGCGTGTAGGTACTGAGGGATTAGGGAGAGAATGTTCCCAAATTTTGGATTATGCACCTGTTGCATTCTTTAAATTTCTCAATATTCTCGCAGGTTTAAAGTGACTTGCCATGCTTTTTGTGTTGATTTATTTTGTCTTTAAATCCATCTACCTTTTCAGAAGGGAGAAATTTAAGCTAAAAAAAAAAATGTCAGTGGGTTGGATACTCTCCTGAATGTGCCTCTTTGTAGTGGAAATCTCACAGGCAGGGGTGCAGGGGTTTAACCGTGCAGTGCTTTCTGGTCACATGGCGAGAGCAGCAGCCTAGGACTTTAAGTCCCCAAGAAGGTAAGCATTCCCCCTACCTTCCCTTCCATACTTAGAGACCTGTTCGTTCCCCTCCCCTCCCCTCCCCTCCCTTCCCATTCTCCACCCTTGTCTGCCACTGCCAGTGTCCTCAATGTGCTGGGGGAGAGAGGAGCTCAAGGACCACTGGGCACTGTCCAGTGTTCTCTGCTCAGTCTCCCCCCCTTGGTGCACTAGTTATAAACATTTGACCTGCACTCCCAACCTGTTATGTTTCAGTTGTCCCAAGCAATTAGTTATTGTGTTTTAAGGGAGGCTTATAGTATTTCTTAGTGGGCAATGGCTCAGAATCCCTCTAAAGCAACAGAGAAGAGATGGGATGGGATGTGCCTCTGAGCATGGAGGGGAAGGTAGGGGTAATGCTTAGCTTTTTTGGGACTTGAAATCCCTAGCTGTTGCCCTGGTGCTTGGTCTGCCTGCCCCAGTGGAGAGGATGGAAAGGAGGAGGCTGGGAGCAGGGGTGCAGTCACCCTTGCAGTGGCGGTTGCTGCTTCTGCACCATTATAAAATCCTGGATTCACTTCTGTTCACAAGCACTATCCTCCTATTGCATTTCTTGTACCTCCTGGCTTAGAATGCCAGCAAAATAACTTTTCTCATGAGGATGATTTCCCTGCTCTTGGCTGGTCCTGGAAGCAGTAGCAGAGACATGGGGAAATTGAAAGAAATAAGAAAGTGGCACTTTCAGGAGTCCTCAGTGGGAGCATAATTAAGCTAATACTGTGGTTGGTAAGATTTTTATCCTTGTGAAATCTTAAGCACCTACATGACATTGGATCCTAAGTCCCAGCAAGATTCAGTAGCGCATAGGCTTCTAAGACATTTTGCTTGTGCCAGTCCAAGTTTTATTCCACCTGACTTTAGTAGGAACAAAGTTAGGTTAACAGGACTCCTCAGAGTTTCCCAGATTCTTGGTTGGGTCTGTGTGTTTGGCTGTGAAACTATCACAATGTTTTATTGAGCCCACTGTACTTCTGCTATGGTCATTCACCTTTTCAGGCTCAGCCTGTTCTTGCTGCACACCTCACTCACCCTCTGTGGATTGCATATAGCATGACAAGCTCACCTGGTCCATGGCAGGTGCGTGCTGTGTCGGGCTGTTGAATCATGCCCCTTCCCCCACAAAACTTTGCTTTGGTTCTCCTGCCTGAGATATCTTCATAGCTGTGAAAGGAAGATGGCTCTACCCCTTGGAGAGTGTTAGAAGCTCTCATTTTTTTAGGCTGTTGAACAGTAATGTCCCTTTTTATCTTCATGGAATGGTTAGGTGCAGTAGCCCCTTGACTGGTGGAGCTGAATAGCTGCCTCCCATGCTACTTCTCTGGTTAAGTGAATCTTATTGTAGATTATTGTTTTGCTAATGGTGTAGCCGGATCATAAACAATCTCTCAATTATATGGGACGAGGCCCTATCTTGGGGTAGGTTAGTGCCACATCCTGCAGGCACTTTTTACTTACAGAGCCAGGAAACTCAATGGGGTGCCCTTGGCAAGAATGCCAGTGCCCTATAATTGAGCCAAGACAAAGCCAACAGCAACAGGCTGCTGTGGCTTGGAACTTTGGTCATTGGTCCTCTGTCATTAAGGATGACAGCTGGTGGCCTGGAGTATTTTAGCTTGACAGTGGTATTGCAGGAGTGTAGAAATAAATGCTATTCTCTTTTTGGGAGCTCATTTTCCATTAATTTAAATGGGACATACCTATCTCAATCACTTAAGCAGCTTTGGAAAATGTCATGCTAAATATCCAAACTGGGATTTCGGTCATGTCTCCCCGTACCCCCTCTCCTGCTAACAAACCTTGGTGCTCCTGATGCACATTGCATGAGCATTTCCAGGTTTAGCCTCTGTTGAAAATCCCCATGTCTACACAGCCTTTACTTCAGTGGCACAAATGTCTCTGCTGTGATACCAGGGTTGATTTAAAAGAAAGATTAAAAGGGAGCTGGCTGCCTTGTGGAGGAGAGCATAGTTCAGATGAGGCTTGAGCCATAAAATCGTGTTGTGTACCTTTCTTGCTAGTGTCCTATTGGTTACTCTCCACCTGTTTTTTGCATAGTTCTGGTTGGGCTGGCGTCACACTGTCTAATGTCTCTTAAGCAATGGCACTAAACTTATTTTTCTGATCTTCTTTACAAAGCCAGCTGCTGTAATCGGGTTTCACTCAGAATCGCATGAGTTTGTATGTCTTACTACTTGCTGTGAGAGGAATACTGCTTTAAAAAGTGTGTGCATGCATGCACACGTGCATTTGTGTGCGTTTCCTCCACACAGTCAGAGTACCAGCTCATTCCTGCCCCCAAGTGTATGCTTTTTATATCATGATGACTGAATTCAGTGACAACTCTTGGGTGGAGAAACCCAGCGCAGAAGAATAATAGCTGTTCCTTAATATACTAATTGGAATTAACAGGGTAAGGAGCATGTTAAAGGTCTAGGTAACATTTTGTGCTTATGCCTTCTGCTGAAATTTGCTATGATGTATTTCTTATTCATTGTACAAATACTCTTTCCAGAAACACCCGTATGTAGTGGCACATGGACACAACAATAATAACTTATCCTCTCATTTTCAGGACCCAGGTCCTGTGCTAAATGAAGTTTCCCAACCTAGTTTTGGCAGTGAACACCAAAGCTCTTTAACATCAATCAGCAAGCCTTCCTCTGTGTATCCTTCCACTACCATTGTCAATCCTACCATCGTCCTCTTGCAGCACAACAGAGGTAAGGAGCCTGCAGGTATATCTTTTCCCATAGCTCTAGGTAACTTGAATTTAGACAGCTGTTGAAGTATAATGTACTGAACTGGAGAAATGCAGAACAATAGCAGTAGCCTTGGAAATAGCCAAAAATGTCAGTGCATATCACTTCTGTGTACATTGGAAGCAGTGGTGGTCTGGAGGGTTTATGTCCCCATTCTTTCCCATAAATCAGCATCTGTGACTGAACTACATCTCCTGTGATCCCTGACTGAGTTGCAGAGTGCAGCATGAGAGTCACAGATTTTTTTAAAATTCTTGGTTTATGTGCCCTCTGTGACTCCATGAAAAAATCATAGCTATTGTCATAGTCTCTGTACTGCTCTAAGACAATAGAGCACGGACTTTGGAAACAGAAGTGTCTGGGTTTTCTCCCTGTTGCTGCCTTTGTGCTGGTATGAGTGGCTGTGGCCAGCAGCACCCTGATAGAGGTGTCCTCCTGCATGCCTACAGACTTGGTTATAATACATCATATTCATAAATAACAGGGCCCAAATGGAAACCTTGGATTACAAAATACCCTAGAGGTTTGGGGGAGGGGGGGAGGGGTTTGGGATTTAACTTCCCAACTCGACCCTATCTCTTCTAGATGCATTGAAACCCCAGAATACAGCATCCCTTAAACTCTTGGGGAACTTTGATCAGGGTCTGAATTTCCTTGTTTGAGCTCATCTTTAATTGCAGATCAAAGCCTTTCCCTCCTCAGAGCAGCTCCCTCTGAATGGATAGGTACCATACCCACATCCTTGGAGTTAGAGACACTTTGCTCCCCCTCCTCATTCCTTCTACATGATGTTAACCTGGCCTCCTTTGGGATTTGTATTATTTAGTACTGGTATGTTTCAAAGAGCTTAAGGAAGGGTAGTTCTCAATGCCCATTGAATTCCAATGTGATATGGACTTCTAAGTCTCACAGACTCCATGGAAGAGCTCTTCTGAGGATGTTAGTACCTGGCTTTTATCCAGAAAATCAAAGATCACTCATTAGGGACTGAGGCCATTCTTTCCCTGATAGCAGCTGCTCCCAGTTCAGTTTCCTTCACACTCCTGAAATGTTTCAATCAGTTCTTCTAAAGTTGATTTCTGTCTTTGGCTCCACAGTGAGTGACTGCAGTTCACTTCTTGAGCACAATTAAATAAACCTATTGCTGACAATTGGGATGATACTTCCTGTTGCAGCTGAAATCTATTTCAGTAGCTATTTAGAACCTTCTCCCTTTATGGAAAGCATTGCTTTTAACTTGTCCTCAATGGGATATAACTTGACTGTCTTGGCTGGACAGATGAGAAAGCTGTGAAACAGCACTCAGCTCTTGTTTCCCTCCTGGGCAAAAGGGGACCATAAGTACCTTCCCCCCTTCTGGAGCTTGAAGCATCCTTGCTATATGCTTCCGAATGCCAGTTTTAGATTGCTGTAGGTGCCTCAAACGAGCAGCCAGATTTCAGAATCTTTCAGCTGCTTTTAGATGAGCAGGTACGATTCAAGGTAGGTTTCAGGTCTTTTAAGCTGCACACCCTTTCCCTTTAGTGAGATTGGCCTTTGATTTTTTATAAACCTTGTTTGTTATTTGTAGTTCATGTGGACTATTTAAGTGTCTTTTCTGCACAGAGAAATTTTCTTCCATAATTTTTAAAGCCAGAAAGGATCATTGTAATTGTGTAATCTGCCTAACATGGGTCACAGGACTTTCCTGTATTAATTCTACCTATAAATCTAGGTTGATTGTGCTTGAACTAGAGCAGAATTTCAGAAAAGCATCAAATATTGACTTAAACTTCCAGTGATGGAGGATTAACCACAACCCTGGTTATAATTGGTCTCAGTGGGTTAAAAACTGGTGCTTTCTCTCTCCCTTAAATTTATTCAGCTTCAGCCTTCAGACGTTTGTTCTTATTAGATTTTTCCACACTAGATTGAAAAACTGTCTATTATCACATTTCTAGTCCCCATCTAGGTACTTGTAGACTGTGATCAAGTCTTCCCTTAACCTTCTTTGACAAGCTAAATTATAGAACACTAACATTTCACACAATAAAGATGCATATTCTTGTCCTTTAATAATGCTTGTGGGTCTTCTCTGAGCCATTTCCAGTTTACCAGCATTGTTTTTGAAGTGTGGATGCTTTACAAAGTCCATTCATTACATCAATGCTATTACCTTTGTCAACCAAACTTGTAATCTCATAAAAATGATGTCAATTTGACAAGAGCTATTTTTCATTGCCTACATTGATTGTCATTGATTATATTCTCCTTCTTCAATTATTTATTCACCAAGACCATACCAGGCATTTCATTATTTTGCTAGGACTGTTGTTAGCTTGGAAGGCCAGAGCTAGCTGGGTCATCTTGGTTAAACGTTTTAAATGTTGGAACAATATTAGCTTTCTTCCAGTCCTCTGGAACTTCACCAGCATTTCAAGATGTATTGAAAATCAACATTAATGGGCAAGAGATCCACAACCACTTTAAAACTGATGCATTTTATTTGGACATGCTAATTTAAAAATACCTAACATTAACAGGTATATAACATCATCCTTAGTTACTGTCAAGAGTGGAAGGTATTAATCATCATATGATATGACTACATCAGTTGTCTTTTTCTCAAATGCAGAGTAGAAATATCCTTTGACCCCTTCTTTGATTTTTTCATTGCTGTTGAGGAGAAGGCAGGGTAGATTTGCAGCTTACAGACAAACTAAAGTTGATATAGATATATCTAGATGATATATCTGGTAACACCATTTAATGACTTCAGCATTTGATGAAGTGAGCTCTACCTCTACCTCTATATCTCAAGCTTGCTTCATCAAATGCTGAAGTCTTTAAATGTTGTTACAAAAGTGAGCAGCCTATGAAAGCCTGTGCTGTGTGTACGTGTGTGTACACATGCATGCATGCGTGTGTGTGCACACACACACTTTAGTTAGTCTATCAGGTGTAAATTTACCCTGCCTTCTACTTGACTTCAGACTAACATGATTGACTATGAGTCTCTTCATTACTTTCCAAAATGTTGCCATGTTCATGTAGTGATGGAGCCAGACCAGTGTTGTTCTTGATATCTTTAAAAAACCTGCTTTTTAGATTATTTAACTCCGTCATCCATAGATTTCTCTTTGCATCCTTTTGGTTCTTATCAGTTTTCTACACTTCCTACCAACTAACTTACATTCAGTGCTATCAATTTCTTTTTTTCCACTTGTTGTACAGTATATTGAGGTTATTTTTAATAAGTGCTTTCCCTTATCACTAGTCAGGTTGGTGGTATTTTAACCAGCACAATCTTCTTTCTCAAATATGGGATTGTGGCTTCTTGGTCACTGAGTAGAATGTTCTCAAATGGTTCTTAATTATCATTCATGCTTTCTGCTTAAATCGTTTCTTCTGGCCAATGTTTCTTACTTTGTGAAAGTTGGTGAAAGTACTTACTTGGTGAAACTTTGTTTGCAACTTGGTGAAATTGGCCCTTTAAAAGCACTACATATATTACTGGTTTGGACTTTGAGTTTCTTCTGTTTGTACATAAGAAATGTAATTGTCATAGTCACCTGCATCTAAACAAACACTGTTTACTCCCAAGAGCAATTCCTCTTTATCTTTCAAGATGAGGTTTAATACAGAATTCCCTCAGGTTGGCTTCAGTACTCTTTCAGTTAGGAAATTTCAGGGGTAGTTTGGCATTGGCAGCATGTCACTCAGGTGGAAAGCTTTGTGATATTGCAGCTTTTTTCCCCCTACACATGATTGATTTAGGGGTCAGTCATATAGTTTGCTTGTGTGATTGAGTCATCTGTAGAAGAGTCTGCTCCCATATCGAATCTTGTGCTTAAGCAATAAGAACATTAATCCATAAGCATCACTTGCTTCTTATTTGTCAGTGACTCTGAAACAACTCCCTCTCTTTATCCTCCCATTCTGTGGCTAGTTTTACATCTTTCTGCTTAGCTTAGCCAACTTGTTTTATATGAGACCAGCTTTCTCTCTACTGAAATACAGGCCTGCCAAACTGTTCAGCCCCACACTTTTCAGTGAAGGTGGTGCAGTTCCACAAAACTGAAACTCTGTACCTTATACCTCTTCCAGAATATCTTGTCTTCTTTCTTCCTTTGTTCACAGGACAGTAAGGATTTTTAAGAAAATTGAATTGAGTATTCCTCTTTCAGTACCCTTCTGGGAGCTCTGAAAGCATCTATAACTATTGAGTTCTTCATTCTTGCTGGCATACTTTAATCTTTTCATGCATGCTCTGGACAACTGGCAGGCCCTTTTGGTTTTGCTGACAGTCTTCAAACATTTGAATAAGCATGGAAACACCTAATCATCTCATGTGATTCTGTCTACTCTGTGACTCCTGTAATACAGAAGAATGGAACAACCTGTACCTCCCTTTCCTCCAACTTCTTTACTTCAGCTACTGTCAGAAGAGCTAATATAAAGGAAACCTCCTTTCTGCATAGAAGAACCCTTTGTTTCACTAGAGGTAATTTACCCAGTGTATATTCTTTTTCTCACAGGAGAAATGAGCAAACATTTCTTAAGCTCTGCCTTTTTGAACCACCTGTCTCAGAAGACCTGCATAATTACTAAACAAAAGCATTCATTTCTGCAGTAGAAACCCTCTGTTTGATGGCTGTCTGTCACAACCCAAGGGTGTGATTTTGTTTGTGCGTGCTTCGGCACTGCTAAATTATTTCCCGCCACTAGGAGCTTTCTTTGCAGGGTGCATTTCTTAGTTGCAAAGAGAAATGCACGGTGCAAAGGAGTTCCCGCCATTCGCATGCAAATTTGTGTCCCACTATTGGCCAGTTCTAAATTATTTCCACGTGGCGGCTAGCGATTGGCTTGCTAGCCGTATAAGAGGCTTGAGCGGTTTCCGCCCAAGTTGGAGAACTCCGAGGATAACCCCCGCAAGGGAGGACTCCACAACCATCTGGAAGAGGAGAACTTCACGTCTCGTGAAGATCTCTAAGCGCTGCGGAGCCTAT